CACAGCAGCCCCCTCCTCCCGACCCGAGCACAGCAGCCCCCTCCTCCTGACCCGAGCACAGCAGCCCCCACGTCCTGACCTGAGCACAGCAGTTTTTATAGACTTTGCCACTTCACTAGAAACATGGTAAGATGCATTGGCATAGCTGACTGTGCAGCTTTGTATACATGCCTATATGCCTTGTACAGGATACATATTTCCTGTCTTCAATCTTCATTCAGTTGTCACAATTTTTGATCACACTCACACATCAACATTTATCATTGTAGATTTATTTGTGAGCATTTCTTGTTCAACATATGGCTGCTCACGAGAAACTTCTTCCGTGTAGCTAACTGTATTCTCTTTTAGATCTGTTACTATCTTGTTGAGATAGATTTTGAAAAAAAAAACCGACCATTTATTTTCAACACATGAATTTATTTATTCTGCCTCTTATTAAGTAAAACAACAGCAACTTTTGTTTTTCAGTTATTGGAGTGCTTCAGGATTAACCCTTGGACTTATCCATCCAAATCTGAATGGTGGTTTCACTTGAAGGAAAAGATGAAAGACAATGAAGAAGCATCCAAGGTAAATCAGCAAAACTGTTGAATGATATACTTCTGTTGCAAATGATTGTCTAAATTAATGCAGTTCTGTATATTGATGGAAAGATGTGACTTATGTCATTTGTGCTATTCATTATGGTTGAATTTCTTAAGCTGTTACTAATTTGAATAAATTGTTCATGGCAGCCTGATAGGTTGTGATTGAAATGTCAGTTTTGATTGACATTTGAAACCTCATTTGTGTTTCTTCCTGGATCACAGAGTGAAGTGTTCCAAGCAGCAGAAGGCTGCATTTCAGAGGGGAGGAAGACTGATGGAAAATTCTAGCAGAAAGATTATGATTTCGTTAAAATATGAGCTATGATTATTCAATTTAGTTTTAATTTGTGGATTTGATTGACACTTCTACATTGAGAGTTAAGACTAGAATTGAAATATTTCACAAATTTTCATTGACAGCTTAGTTTTCATTTGTGTGAAAGAATATTCTGGAGGTTATTATCAAATCTTTTTCCAAGGAAAATAACATTGGCTGGAGAAGTAGTAACAGTCTGTTAGCATTAAGAAACAAGGGACACATAAAAATTCTGGCTACAAATGCGGAGGAAAGAAACAGAGTGTTGAAAATTTTGAAACACACTCAAAAATGTTGGAGGCCCGGCAGCATATTGATCGTCTGAATGAAAAAATGTATGTTTTCTATCTCAGGAATAGTTGGGGCAGAACGTTAGCTCAGTAGTTAGCATCAAAGCGCCAGGGACCCTGGTTTGATTCCACTCTCGGACTGTCTGAGTGGAGTTTGCATGCTCTCCCCGTGTCTGCGTGGGTTTCCTCCCACAGTCCAATGATGTGCACATTAGGTGGATTGGCCATGGGAAATGCAGGGATACAAGGATAGGGGAGGGGGGTGGGTTTGGGTGGGATGCTGTTCACAGGGATGGTGTGGACTCGTTGGGCTGAATGGCCTGCTTCCACATTGTAGGAATTCAACGATTCTATGAAGCTTTTTATTGGAAATGAAATTATCGAAATTGTGAGGCATTTATCTCATGTCAACACAATCCAGTTTGCTACATTATGCTGTACTGGCCAGTTTGTTAATCCAGGTGGAAAATGATTTGTGTTAAGGTAGAGTTTCTACTGAAGGGTAGTTAAAAGAATTATTGCTCAGTAACATGTATTTCTGACCCAATTGGTAACTATAAACCATAAGAAAAGACCACTTCTAACTAATCATTTAACCCATAGAAAAAGAGGAAAAGCATTTTATTTAAAAGAAGTCATCACTTGCTTCAGAAACATTTATTCAAATGAATCTGTCAACAGTGTTACTTGCAGCAAGATTTCCCACTGACACTGAATAATGAGCATTTAATTGAATCTCTGTCATGTTGATTGAAATATTGAAATGAGTGAAATCACACTTCTCCTAGGGAAGACGTTTTGAGTTGTACAAAGGTTTGATGTGGTAGAGGGAAGGGATGGGGGTGTTGGCCAGGCGTGGTTTTGGTAGGGACAGGTATGGGAGGCCCAGTAAATTGGTGCCACACTGTGACGTGCCATTTGGTCCGATGTTCCTACCTCCGGCCCATTTAGGTCGAGTTAGGTTTGGTGGGGGTGACACTTAACCTGCCTGCGAGCCCAGGAGCTCCTTGAGGCAACGAGAGGGCCGAGGTTCTGAGGCCAACTGTAATTTTCTGTGGTATCCAGAGCTGAACTAATGCAGGGAATTGGGGGTTTGGTTGGGAGTGCTGGGGAGCATTCTACTGCATTTGAAACCCTCGCCATTCCTTCAGTAGCTGACATACTGTGATCTCCATAGCCGTGGTCACAAGCCTCCATATGGAGAGCCTTCCACCATGTTTGTCATACAGTAGTGGCCACTTTTGAAATCGAGCGTACTCAGAGTGCTCTTCCATTTTGGGACACCCTCTCTCTCTCCCTCTCTCCGCCATTCTGGCAGTACAGCTGGCTGTTCTCCTGGCCCTCCAACTTTAGGAACCTGGGTTGCTATGTTTAATTGTGACCAGCCATACGATACATGGGAACATCGGTGCTTACAAATTTCCCTTCAAATCACACACCATTCTAACTTAAGTGATAAGGCCGTTGCTTCATTATTGCTGAACCAGTGATGCCCATGTCCTGTGAATGAATAAAAATTTTGAACAGTGAGTACACCTTTGGCCATGTCCATCAATGTTGCATCATGTCAGATGAAAATTCACTCCTCAATGTCTTTTAAACTTATTTTTGTGATGTGACCGTTCTAGCCGGGCAACATTTTTTTTGCCCATTTTGAATGGTTCTGAGGGCATTAGTAGTTAATTCAATCATGTGGAACGACTGTCATGTACAGATCATACCATGTAGTAGGAGCGGGTCTTTTGTCCAGTGACTCCATTGGATTTCAACAGTAGTCCTTCTGCTTTTTTGCCATTTAAATGGACGGGCTTTTTGAAATTGAGTTTCACAACTTTACAACTTCATGTTGGCTTTAATGTCATGACCTTTAGGTTGTTGGATCAGTACCATAGCCACAAACATTGTTCCATCCTGTTCACCTCAATAGACATTGAAACTTCAGTTTAACAATTTATCTGTAGGGCTGCACCTTTGACAATGCAACCTCTTATCCCAAAGTGTTATGAATGGGTGTCACCTTAGATTATGTAATTATTTGTCAGTTTAGAGGATGAATTTTGATCAGTGCACAGACAGCACACTGGAGCCTAAGGACACACTTGTTTTAACGTCTTATCTGAAGGTGAGTTGAAGTTGTGACTTTCTATTACAACAAGGATCATGAGTTTACACAGTCCTCAATAGACCCACTAAGTAATATCTTAGCCACAGTGATAAACTTCATTTGGCTACTTGTCACCTTATATCAGAAGAGATTATTATTTAATGAGTCAAAATTTTCTGAATTCCAGGCTTTGGCTGCACAGAAATCTCTGCCCATGAACTACTACACTGTGTTCCACAACATTCAAGCAGTGCTACCAAAAGATTGTATTATTGTCAGTGAGGGTGCCAATACCATGGACATTGGCCGAACAGTGCTGCAAAACTACCTGCCTCGGCACAGGTAATTGTTCTGTTACTAAATAAAGGGTCGCATTAATAAAAAGGGCATTTCTAGTTCTTAATAAATGCTTTGTAGTTCTACAAAATTCTCTATATATTGTCCCAGTCATTTAGTAAAAGCTCCAGGGGAATCGTTGCTGGCTGGAGCTAGGGGTGATATCTCTGTTCCTCGCTCAGGAGGAAGTCTTGGCTCAGAGAGCTGCTGGCCAGTCCAATTGAACTTGGTAATCCAAGCAGTATCACAGGAAGCAGTGGCCAGTGCTGGGACTGTGTCTCACAGGTGAAAGTGCCGGGAACCCTAGGACCAGGAAGGGAGAGGGATATTAAAGCGGGGACAGCTGGGGACCCATGTGGTTGGGTGCTGACTCTGAAAAGGCCAAGGGCATTGGGAGCACCTGAAGACAGGTAAGGGCCCAGTTGTAGAAGGGGGCTCATGGAGGAGGTGCCTCTCTTCCCATTCCCATTCATGGCCTGAGCAGGAAAATCCTGCTGGGTTTCCCCCAGTACCTCGGAATTGTGGCCAGGCAGGAAGTGGCCTTTGAGTGGCTGAGCTGCATACATGTGCATTATGTCAATGCCAATCATGGCATTGACTTCCAGTTCTGGAGGTCGCTGCCCACATGGACCTTGAAGCTTTGTGCCAACGCCAGGTTTGCGTTTAGTAGAGGAGCCAGGGAAACACTTCTCCATTGAAAGGCTGGCAGAAATGTGAATTGTGCAGAATCCATCCCCACAAAATGTGGCAGATAATATCTCAATTATTCATTTTAAATCTGATCTCAATAGATTTTTGCCGGACAAGGATAGATCAGGATATGGATCAAAGACAGGTAGATGGAGTTATGATGCATACCAGCTATATTCCCATGGAATGCCAGAATGGGTTGGAAGGGTCAAATGGACTACTTCCATGTAATATTTCCTCAAACTATGCTACTTTGTATTGTTACAACTAAAATCTATAAAAAAGTTCTCCCTGCTGATTTTATTTTAGATTGGATGCTGGCACCTTTGGCACCATGGGTGTAGGTCTAGGTTTTGCTCTAGCTGCAGCACTGATTGCCAAGGATGAAAGCCCGCATCAGCGGGTGATCTGTATTGAAGGAGACAGTGCTTTTGGCTTTTCTAGCATGGAGGTGGAGACCATATGCAGGTAATGCAATAAACGTCTGAGTATATGAAAGAATGGACCTTATTATTGGTTTGTAGACTGAAAATGAGATCATTTTAAAGAAAACAGTAATCATTTTATTTTGAAAGCTTTGCCAGTTCCTATGAAATTTGACAGTTCTTACCCATCTTGACAGTTCTTTTGCAACTTTGATGGTTCAAATGTGTTCTTAGGTTTTTACGCATATTAACATCTACTTTAAACAATTCCAAAGGGCATCTGACCTCCCTCCAAAGAGTACTTTACCTATCCAAAAAGGCAACTGATGTTTCCCAAACATATCCTGGAAATATGCCCAAATATTACCTCTCCAAAGGAATATCTTCAGTTTTGGACTGTATCCACAAAGTTCTGACCTGTTCCTACCAGCTCTAAACAGCACACTTTGAATTTCAGGCACCTACCTCACCAAAAATACACGAGTGGAGGCAGCTGTTTGTTGTACGAATGACTACCTCTGTGAATCAATCAAATGCAATTTAGAACCCTCTGCCCTTCCCTCCCTGATGGGCCTAGATTTTCACATGGAGTCAATGGCTCAGAGATGAGAGAATAGATATGGCACGATGAAAATTTGGGTAATAATGATTTGGCATCAGAGTAGCACTTGCTATCCCTGATCTTGACTGGAAGCTCAGCCCTATCAAGTAAGAGGTTTTAGCTCCTGCAAGTGTCAGGACAGAAGATGAAGGCAAGGGAGTGAAAAGTGTGCAACAGGAGACAGTGAAGGCAGTCATATAGTGGAATATAGGAATGGTGCAGAAGGGATTGTTGAGAGAAGGTTCAAGCTGTGGTTAACAGTTCTATCTGTCAAATCAAAACACTTCTTCCGCTGGAACCTCCTCAATATATTGAACAGAATCAAGGGCAAGTCACAGATGTTAGTTTTATTGGTTATGCGATGGCCCTAATGTCAGGACATCTCGGTGGGTAATGCCCTGGCCCCACTCATCCCACATTATCACTAGCAACACTTTTGCAGTTTTGTATAACCAGGAGCCACTGCAGAAAAACAAATCCTGTTTATTTCCTCAGAGATAGTAGGAACTGCAGATGCTGGAGAATCTGAGATAACAAG